CGCCCCGCCGCTCCCCTCTAGGCTCGCCATCGCGCCGGGCCCCATCCTGCCCCTCAGGGCGCCAGGCCCTGCCCTGTCCCCAGCCCGCCCTGATACGGGAGGCACGTCCGCTGTCACCGCCTGGGTGGCTTCACGCCGCAGCCTACGCCTGGCTTTCCTCAGACAGCGCCTGCCTCATCCCTTCCAGGGAGTCGCGGCCCCTCCAGCAGCGCTTACATGGGTTTGCATTGCAGTCAAAGCAGCTCAAAGGAGCCTCGATGCCCCAGCGACACTGCTGGGACAGAGCCTGTGCTGGGAAACGAACTGCAATGCCTCTCAGGAGGTGTCAGCCCTCAAACCAGGCAGAATCTGCTGCAGCTGGAGTGGAGCTGTCTGGGGGGTGTAGGGAGCACTGGGGTTAGAGGGCACTAAGCGTGGCGCAAAGCCTGCCTGCACACCTGGGTGCTGCAGTGGCAGACAGAGTGGTCAGACTTGTTCCTGGAAGTCAAAATAATAAGACATTAGGCTATCTCAGAGATTACTCCTGAAGAATACACTGCAGCTGCTTTTAAAGATTATTTATCAGCAGAGTGCCTCTGTAGCAAAGTGTTCTTGTGGGGGGTGTGAAGGTTATCATCTTATCCATCATCTGCTTATGGCCCAAAATTCTGTTCCTCAGAAGGCCAGGAATTAGACAGGAAAGGGAAGGGAGAATGAGGAGGCTTCCAGAGATAAAGCTTATCATCTTGCCCCTGTCTTTTGGAGCACAGGACACCCTCAGCCTGTAGGTTCAGACTTTAAAGTACTCTGAAACCTTTCCTGCAAATCATTTGGAGGATGGGAAGGGCTTGAATGTGGCATTTACACTATCTCTAAAAAGACCCTGTCAGTTCACAGACTTGATAAGCTTTATCTTGTATTTTTCTGTGGAATAGGTTGTTAGCCCTGCCTGCCATTGGTATGGGAAGGGGTGCATCTTTTGTCTAGTTTAATCCTTTATAATCTCAAAAATAGTTTGTCATTCAAGCTTTTGTTGATGTGCAAAAGTGAGTATATATGTGTTGGGAGAAAATAAAATTTGAATTGTACTTTTTATTGAAGGCTTGCAACAAAGACGACGACTCGCTGTTCCCCAAACCTCTTGCTCTGGGTTCCAGTGCTCTCTGCGAGCACACTGAGTAAAGTGAAATTCATGTCTGAGGACCAGTCATCTGGGCAGGATGGAGAGCTTGGGCTTGCAAGCAGTGACCCTTAGTGACGGGACGACAGCCTACATTCAGCAGGCTGTCAAAGGTAACGGTTCCTTTGAGCTGCAAAGTCTAAAAGTCTCTTGATTGACCCTGTGAAATTAAAGTCAGACTTATCAAAAGTGCCCTCATGGCACGCAAACTCTCATATATCTTATATGGTTGCTTGGTACAGGAAGCTAGCAGCTATCTGTTAGATTTGCACAGAGGAGTGATGCAGCAGAAATAAACATGCCTCTGGTTTGGAAATAAAGCTTTGGAGATGGCAGAGCTGTTGCTGTAGAAGATGAAGGTTCTGTTCAGACTAGAGTGAGCCCTCCAGGGTAACTGGGGAAACAGAGTTCACGCTATGGCCTGCAGGACTCTCTTCAACCAAAACTTCCCCTGAAGCTAAGCAGGATGTTTTACTTCACTGAGATGCATAGGATTTGGTTCACAGTAAGTGCTGTTCTCACTCAAAGGGGTGCAGAGCTCAGTGTTGGTTAACTGAAGCGATAATCAGTGCCAAATGCAACATCTCCCCTTATTTTGGTGTTTGTGAGGTGCTCCTTCCTTCACCACTGTTCCTGAGAAAAGGAACATGCTGTTTCCCAGCCTGTGAAACAGGACGGTTGGGGTGCAAGGCTTCGTGTCCTGGGGATTGCTGTCTTGCTTTCTTTTCTGTGCAAACTCACTGCAAGTTTATTACACGTGTGGAGTTGGACTGTCTTGAAACCGCTAGGTTTTGTGCCACACACCACGCCCCCCCCATTGTGCATCAGCTGAAAGCAACTGGATTCCTCGTGTTCAAGTGGGATAGGGCAATGTCCTCCCTGCATCAAGTAATTTGGTAACTAAAACACTACTACAGGGTTACTCAGAGTTACACTATTATAAGAGCCCAGGCTTCACAACCCGTCAAGGGTAGCAACACTTCAGGGTCTGTAATTTTTTTCCAAAAGTTGATCCTCCACCAAAGGAGAGAAAATAAATCTTCAGGCCCTTGCTGATGCTGTTGAAAGCTCCCAGTTGACTTTTTTTCTCCGGCACAAGAATAATTGCTTTCTACTTTAGATCCAAAACGCTTAGTACACATCATTCTTTCTGCTTCTTGGCTTACAGAGCTGTGAAGGGCAGTGTGTAAACAAGTGATGACTGAGGTTCTTTGTCTGGTATCCTCCTGTCTAGGAAAGGGAGGCTCCAGCATTTCTGGGAAGTGCAGTGCCTCTGTGGCTATTCAGGGGAAAGCCTGGTAAATAACAGCTTATAAGTAACTGTTTTGCTGTCTTCTGTGGGACTGGTTTCCTTGTGAAGATGTGGCAAAGGGAACAGCTCATGGGACCAGAAAGACTGGACTCTGTAGACAGTGCTGATGGCATTTTTTAAAATGTTTCAGGTGAAAAACTGATTGAAGGGCAAGTCATTGAACTTGAAGATGGGACTACAGCTTATATCCATCAGGTGACAGTTCAGAAAGGTGAGGACATAAATTCACCTCTTTCTTTTTAGAAGGACGTTGTAGATGTAACTGCAGTTATCTGTGTTCCAACAATCAGGCTCCTCTATTAGCTCTAGGTTTAAGAGGTCCATATAGGTGTGGGGGTTTTTTCTTGCCCTTTGTTTTGAGGCTGGATGAGCGAGGACATAGAACACGTGATTTTCTGCAAAGTTTTTAGCAATCTTACAAGCAGGCAAATTTGCTGGTGGTGTAAGCAAATGTTTGTTAAGTGTTGTTTCACCTGTGGGCGCTCTCACAGTTGTCAGTCTGACCGATTACAAGTCTACAAGCAAGGCCAGTAAGCTGTGTGCTGTGTTTGTGCCAACGACAGGGCCCAAATAAAGTTTCTTTCATCTAGGAGCAGTTGGACAGGAATTTCCTCTGAACTCTAAGATAATATATTACTTCTGGAATAGGTGTTGGGCAGGGAGGGCGGTGGGGATTGTTGGAAGGAGTGTCGTCTTGGTTATTGACCCATCAGCCAATGTCACCTCCGAAATGAGGTGGCATTAATTAATCTTGAGAGATTATGAGAATTCATTTCATGTGGCAGGAACCAGAGCGGCATAGAGTAATCCTCCCCAGCCACCGTGAGGTGTAAAAGGGCAGGTAGAAAGAACTCTGCTGCTCTGGGCAGTCCTCCCTTCGCCCTCCCAAGCTCCTTGTATGCAGCCTCCCTTTTCAGTTCTTAAAAGGTCACTTGAAACTCACCAAGTCTACTAATAAGGTATGTGGATTTTTTTCTTTTCTTTCAGAGTCTGTAGCTTTTGAAGATGGTCAACCAGTAGTGTTGGAAGATGGCAGTATGGCCTACATACACAACACAGCTAAAGGTAAAGCATGTTCCCTGTTCTTCCCTTGGCAGCTGCAGTAGAAACTGCCAAGTGTCACAGATTTCCAAGGCTGTAGGTAGCCTAGGGAGATGAAGAGTGCCTTGCACTCAGCAGCTCTTTTACATTTGATTTTATTGGTTTCCTTTTGCAGAAAGTTATGACCCCAGCACCTTCGAGGCCGTCCAGCTGGAGGATGGCTCCACTGCCTATATACATCGTCCTGTCATCATGCCACCTGGCAGCACCATCCTGGAAGTACAGGCAGAAACTGGGCTAGAGGAATTGGCTGGAGAGGAGAAAGATGATGCCTTTGATGTTGAGGACATTAATGCATTAAAGCAGTATGCCAATAAGGTGAGGACACAACGCTTCTTTCATGGTCTGCCAGCGGCACTGAGGGGCTGGTGTAGTAGTCCACATTTGGCCTGGGGTTTAAGTGTCCTCCCTTTGTTAGTACTTCTGTATGTCTGTTTTTCAGCAATGCCAGCTTTGAGAAGAGAAACTGGACAGGGCTCCTGTGAGAGTGCTACCACTGAGAGCTGGTTAAGGACCTAGAGCGGGGCAGGACCCTCTAGCTAGTTCCTACAGAGTGCTGGGCTTTTTACCCTTAACCTACTGCAGGCACTGATTTATCACTCCAGTGATACAGCTGGATTTTTTTTCTTGCTTTATATGTCCCTCCTTGAAGGTGCTCTCCTTCTGATTGCCAGGTTTCTCATAGTGCCACCTGGGTATGATATTCTCTTCCACAGATGATTCAGGCAGCAGAACAAGACCAACCTTTTACATGTCAGGAGTGGCTAAGTTAGGGCATGGGTTGCTCGCCTGCTCCGTGCTGTGCAGGGAGCTATGAACAGTGCCTATGCCTCTTTGCTTGCAGGTGTCTGACGAAGAAGAGGAGGGAGTTACAAGCACCTGCCATATGAAGAGTGAGAACTCCAGCTACATCCCTCCCCAGGTCTGAATTTTTCAGTGATGCATTTCTGAAACTAGGCCGAGCTCCTCGATGCAGAGCACTTTGCCAGCTAGTAATTAAAAAAGCGTTGTGGCTTCTCTGCAAGGTTAGCAAATATATTAGCTGCAAGTTTTACAAATGACCTAAGTGAAGCAGAGAGAGGTGAGTTATGTGTCTGAGAAGACCCAGTGAGTCTGGAGGTGTGAATGGGAAATCCTGGCCCCTAGACTCTTGCCCTGTCACCTGGATTGCACCATGTGATTTTATGCACCAAATGATTCTATGATGTGCGTACAAGCTGAGTTTACAGGAACGTGTTTTTGTGAGCGTAACTGAAGGAGTGAATATGTATAGCAAGTAGGGAAGTTATTTGTATGGGCTTTGCAAAGCCTGCTGTAGTGGCTCGCTGAATTAGTTTCCGTATGTCTCTATATTTGCAGGAGGAGGAAGTGCACAGCAGTGAGAAGGGGCAGCAGGTTGGCAGTAGAGCTTTCCGTTGTGGGTACAAAGGCTGTGGCCGCCTCTATACCACAGCCCACCACCTAAAGGTAAAGCAGGTAACATGTAGTCTGGCAGACCAGACGTATCCCTGTGTTACAGTGCCAGATCAGAACGCTGCTATACAAAAGGCTGAGTTGTGTGCTTGACTCCCTAAGAGATCCAGATGTGTTAATTGGCCAAGGTGAAATCCAACAGAGAACTTGAGATTCTCTCCAGCAGCCAGATTTCTCCACACTGTTTTCCTTCCTCCTTGTCTTGGACCTCATTTTAGGGACCTGTTCTTTCTTTTCCAGGTACATGAACGTGCTCACACAGGTGACCGGCCATATACGTGTGACTTCCCAAGCTGTGGGAAAGCATTTGCTACAGGTAATGATTTCTCTCTTGAGCAAATTTTGTTTTCTCTCTGGTCCAAACCACTCTTGAGTATTGTTCCTGGCTTTTTTCCAGCAAAGCACAATAAGCATAGCTTTTAAAGCCTTCTGAGAAGGAATTGCAGTGTGGGAGACTGCCCGGGACTTGATTGATTATGGACAGATTAAAGGAGCTACAGAAAGAAGCCAAGTTGTCAGTGGTGTTGTGAGGCTTTTTGGATATTTCTTCCCCTTCAGCTTTGCAGACAGAGGACAGACGTTCAAAAATGCATGAACTGAGAGGTGGTACGCAGCCTGCTGTATTATTTCCTTCTCGTTATAAAATTTAATCATGACTTCTTTCCTGGACAGGATACGGGCTGAAGAGCCACATGAGAACACATACTGGTGAGAAACCATACAAGTGTCCAGAAGATGTGTGTAGCAAAGCCTTCAAGACCTCTGGGGATCTACAGAAACACATCCGGACACACACAGGTGAGCAGTACAGGAGGAGAACTGAGCTCCTCATTGAAAGGGCCTCCAAGATAAAGTACTGCTTCAGCCTTTGTGCAGGACATGTCTTTTTGCATCTTTGGTGAAGCAAGGCAGGACTGAAGTTGTCTTCAGACAGAAGTAGATGGGCAGTAGAAGGTAGTACTAGGGATTCTCGACTCAGGTACGAACGGCAGAGCAAAAGGGGTAGGGATGCCAATGTTGCTAGAGGAAATATGCCAGCAGCTGGGTCTGATCTGAGGTCTCCTTGTTGTCATACTGGGGAGGAGTGAAGGGACACAGGTGTCCAGGGCATTCCAGGCAGCTGTGTTGTAGCAGGACTGTGATCCACATTGCTCTGTCAATGCAGGTGAGCGTCCCTTCAAGTGCCCCTTTGTGGGCTGTGGCCGCTCTTTTACCACATCCAACATCCGCAAGGTTCACATCCGAACGCACACAGGCGAGCGGCCGTACATGTGTCCAGAGCCCAACTGCGGAAGGGGCTTCACCAGTGCCACCAATTACAAGAACCACATGAGAATCCACACAGGTAAGAGGAGGAGAGGGTGGAACGCAGACGGCTCCTCGCCAGTCAGCTGGCTGCACTGATGGCATGTGGCAGCAGGGAAATCGGATCATTTCCAGGCCAGGCATTGCAGGGGTAGTTCCGGGGGTAGCCAGGTAGTTAAAGGAAATAGGGATTGCTTTATTGGGTGGATTATTGTTCCAGTGGTCTGTCTCCAGCTATTCCTTCTTGATGCGGAATCCCTTCCCAGAGCATGAGGAGGGTGAGTGGGTTAAAGTCTGCTCTGTGGCCTCTGCCCTAGGAGAGAAGCCGTACATGTGCACTGTGCCGGGCTGTGGAAAGCGCTTCACCGAGTACTCCAGCCTCTACAAGCACCATGTGGTCCACACGCACTGCAAGCCCTACACCTGCAATAGCTGTGGGAAGACTTACCGCCAGACCTCCACGCTGGCCATGCACAAGCGCAGCAGCCATGGCGAGCTGGAGGCTACGGAGGAGAGCGAACAGGCCCTCTACGAACAGCAGCAGCTGGAGGGTGAGCAACCAGTCCCCCATCACCTGGCTCAGGCCATGTGGCAATGGGGAAAGAGATGACAGCAAGAGCCTGCAGCCTCCCCTCCCGCAGACCCAGGTCTGTGCTGTGCCCTTCTGCCTCCCCCGTCAAACCCACATCTGTGTCACAGATGAGAGAGAAGGGTTCCCCATGGTCCTCACTGTATGTTACCAGTTGGGAACGAACTCCTGCCCGTTCTGTAGCACAGGGAGAGGTAAAAACCATTCTTCCCAGGCCAGCACTGGGTTGTCATCGTGATCTTGTACTCTTCTGTGCTGGCCCTTCAGGGGACAGGCAGATCCTGGGGTCTGGGGTGTGCTTTCACCCTCTGATTAGTGCTTCGCTCACCCCTTTTGCTCTTCCCTCTTCCCTGACTCAGCTGCTGCTGCTGACAGAGGCTCCCCCCTGAAGAGCCAGCATATTGCTTTCCTGTCAGAGATTGAGGAAGATGAAGAGGAAGAGGAAGAGGAAGATGGTATGCCTACGCAGGTCTCACTTATCTCTCAGGATGGGACAGAGCAGGTATGGACACTGATAGCCTCCAGCATGTGGGGAACAGCAGTTAACTGAGTGAGATTCTGCCTCTACCCAGCCTTGGAGTTCTCTTTAAGGCTTTTTTCAGCGTCAAACAGACCCTGGGGCTTCATGGGCTCTGTCTGTCATGAGGGCTCCCTCCTTACAGCCTTACCCCACTGCTGCACTCTTGATGTGGAGGGTAAAGAACGGGCCTGTGGTCCCCGACTTGCCTTTTTGCTGCACATGGTTTTGCAGGCGTTTGCCCAGGCTTGTGTGCAGCACGGGGCAGCCCTCGCCTCCCAGAGAGCTGTTGAGAGGCAGCTCCCGATCTCTGCTGACACAGGCTGGATTTGGAGATTGTTTTTTCATCGTTTGTATAGGGCAGTGCTTTTCTTGTACTTCCCTCCACCAGCTGCCCATGTGCTGACTGAGAAAAACTCTCTTCTGTGGCGTGGGGCAAAGGAAACAGCTGCCACAAGTAACGCTTGTTTCCTCTTAGGCTGAGGTGTTCCCTGCTGCAGCAATGCACAAGCTGCCCCTTCAAAACCTGGAGAGAAGATGTTAAACGGGAAGGGGAGGTCTGGTAGAAGGGGGAGGGCTGGAGACCTGAGGTCTGTGAGTTCTCCATTGATCCTGTCCATGACCCTGGGTAAAGTCCTTCAAGTTCTCCCTGCCCTAGGTCTTGCATGCAGAGCAGGAGAGAATATTTCATCCTTACTGAGACCTTTGTGTTGCTAAACTCGGGAGTTATGTAAGGCTTCCTGAGAAGCCATCCTGGCTGAGAGCATCCGCTGTTATCCTGCCCAGGTCAGTTTGTCGCAGGAAGCGCTGCAGGCCCTGGGCAGTGCAATCAGCATGGTGACGCAGAGCGGTGCCCTCGCCGTGCCTGAGGAAGAGCTGGCAGGTGGCAACACACACACCGTGACTGTGGCCAACACGGATGGCAGCGAGACGCAGCCGGTACAGACAAAACTGGGACCTTCCCTTTTCCCCGCGGAGAAACAGCCTGCTAGAAGGGAATTGCATTTGCTTTTAAAACATGATTGGTTTTTATCTTAACTTTTTCTAGGTCACCATTGTCACTTCTGGGGCGGTCGTGTCTGAAGAATCAGCCATCGCATCCCTCCATCCTCAGCAGGTGGCGTTGCTGGCTACTGCCAGTGGCACCCACATAGCAGTGCAGGTACCGCACAGCTCCTGCCACGATCCCTCATCCACTCCCTGGCTTCAGCGCTTACCCTCTTGCTCTGCTGCATCTCCTCTTGCCCAGGGTGCTGGGTTCATAGTTCCCAGATGCCTTGTGTATAGAGGAGAGCAGGGATGTGCTCCTTGGATTGCAGAACGCTCCTTTGTAAACAGCTTTTCCCCATCATAGACGTGTCTCTCTCTGTTGTGCCCTGATGCTTTCTCCCTGTGTCACCCACTGCCAATCCCTCGTACCTCTGCCCCACTGGGGCTGCCCTGAGCGAGCCCGCGCCTCCTGAGCCCACCTCTCGGGAGGACATTCTTAACTCTCTCCCTTTCCTCCGCTAGTTAGAAGAGCAGCAGAGCCTGGAGGAAGCCATCAGCATGGCCGCAGCAGCAGCCCAGCATGAACCTGTAACACTTGACGCAGCCGTGTCTGAGAATGGGTGCTGAGACCCTGCAGAGCCTCCCGGGCAGGGAGAGCAGGCAGCCCGAGCCTGTTCTCCATGGCGGCCCCGGGGGCTGGCGGGCCCGGCCCC